TTTTTATCTTCTTGATGTTAAGATGTAATTTATATTGAAAGCGGTAGCCTTTGATCTTCTGAAGCAAGCATTTCAAGTGCTCCTCAATTTTAGCAAAAGATGAAAGAACAAAACCGTCAGAAAGGATTGTATCGCAACAAAATTTCTCACCACGGGGCCAATAGGCAACATCATGATAGATGGAGAAGAGACTGAAATAATCAATGATTTAATCTTACTTTGATCCACAATCAACACCTTTGGCACCAGCAGTTAAGAAATCAGAAAAGATACTGCATTGGGAAAGATGACTGTCAGAGACCTCTCCAAAGTGCTGAGGAGCAGTGATGTCAGTTTAAAGACTAAAGTGAACCTGATTAGGTCATAGTCTTTTAAATCACTTGTTATGCATCTGAGAGCTGAACAATGAATAAGGATGGCAGAAAAAGTTGGTATAGAGTATTTAATACCCCATAGACTATCAAAATAACAAACCGGTATTTCTTGGAGAAGATGCATCCAGAGTGCTCCATAGAGACAAGGATGGTGAGATATATTGTTTGGAAGGGTTATTTCTTGGAAAGGATGGTGAAAAGGAAGGCCCTCAATTATATGGACTGATACAGTGACTGCAGCAAAGGGCCCAACTATATCTGAGATGATGAAGATAGCAAAGAAAGTACAGAGCTCAAGGGTTCAAATCTGTAGTTTTTACGGTCACTATGAGTCGTACTTAACTCAATGGCACATAAAAACACAACAAACGGCATTAACTGTCAAGACAGTAACTACTTTGATTGAGGCTGAAGAGAATTATTTTTTGTGTGTATACCGTCAAATCACCCAATGCGGACTGAGAGTGGGGCGGAGCTCCCCGATTAAACAAGCGTGGAAGGAGGAGTGGCATCCACTTCCATAATAGCTTGCCTCCGGAAATCCTATAAACCTGGAGAGAGGATGAAAGACACCCAAGCGTCGAAAAGTCTCCTTCATAGGGTCGCTATGAGTCACCTGCGACTCGACGGCACTTAACAACAACAACAACAACCACCGTCAAATCAGATCTGACTGGTACAGGAGGAGATTGTCCCTCCTTCTCCAGCTGAGCATCTGGTGGATTTGAACCACGCACCTCTGGGATTGCAGTTGAAGAGAATAATTTTTAAAAAGGATGTTAGATGGATCAGAATATTGTTAAGGTATAATGTGGTAATAAGAAAAATTTCTTTGGAAAAACTGAAAAATTCATTGCAATCAATTAGGGACTAACTCATAGATGGCCTTCATTGTGAGTTTCTCAGCCTGTAAATGTCATAGGAGAGAATATAACGTATCTTTCTCCCCAAGAGCTTCTGGTGGATTTGAACTTCCAGAGAGGTCCAGTCTTTGGGTTAGTAGTGTAACTCCCTATGAACTTGGCTACAAAAGCCCTCAATACTGAAAAAGAAGGGTTATCAAATGATAATTAATGTCTATTATGGATTGCATCAACTGAATACCAACTGAGGTGTTTCAACAAACACATGTAATGTTGAAAGCGTTCATTTATCTATGCCAAGAAATTTGGAAGAACGAGTCAGCTAACTTGAAGAGAACTATATTTGCAAATATCCAGCAGAAATGGCTAAGTGATCCAACAGAGCAGCAATTGTTAAGTAATACCTTTGATCTCACATGCAGAAAGTAATTGTTTTGTTTTGTTTTGTTTTGTTTTTTAAACAGAGCCCTGCTGGCCTAGTGAACAGGGAGTTGTGGTGCCATCCTAAAGGCGGAAAGTTCAAATTCACCAGCTGCTCCCAGATGGGCGGTCTTCTCCCTTAAGATTTATAGCCTCTGAAAATCTGTTGAAGGGTCAGTTATGAGTCAATTAAAGTAAAATATATTTCAAAAGTATTTACAGCAACCCATCAACAGGGAATTGATAGAAATGCAAATCTAGAAGAGCATATAGAATGGAGTATCATTAGTTGTCAAATGGCTCTTGGCTGAAAGCAGTGAATATCAGAAAGTTTTTTACCTGTGCTTTATAGACTGTGTAAAGACATCTGATTGTGTAGATCCTAACAAATAGGTAATACTAGAAAGAATCGGAATTCCAGAAAACAAAGTAAATACTTATGTAGAACCTGAAGCTGTTGCTCAAACAGAACAAGAAAATTCTGGACATTTTAAAATCAGAAAAGGGAAGTAACTCTACAGGAAGGTATCTAGTAAGTTGCTCCCATAGATTATACACTATAAAACTACAGGACAGTTCCACCGTGTCACACAACATCTTTATGAAAGGAAATTGGCTCAATGGCACCTAGCAACAACATATATGTGGATGCAGTCTGCCTCCATTTCACAGGATGGGAATTATGGGTTTCAAAGAATCAAGGCTCCATCAATTCAGTTCCAGAGTATGAGGCTGCAGATTCAGATAGGATAATAGGTTTGCTGTCCAAAGATGAAGGAGTGGGACCATTATGCCCAAAGGTTAGGAGAATGGGAATTTTCATCCAAAACTGAAGGAGGACCAGGAGAAGGGAACCTACCTGGGCTGAAGGGGGTGAAGTTACCTAGAGATATTAGGAGAATGGGACCACCCAAAACCAAGTGGAAAGCTGTCAGAACATTAGGCCTGGAAAATGATGATACCCTGGCTCAAGGAACTGGCACTCAATATCCAGAGAGTGGGACACCCAGAGTCCCGGGGTGGTTCTTCTGAATTGTGTGCTTTGTTGATTCAAGTAAACCATACTTTATCTCCACCTTCAGAAAGCTTTTATCTATATTTCATTGGTTTTAAGATGGAAAGGAATTTTGACTTAGGATAGATTATGGTCAAAGTCTCACCATGTCTGATTTAGAGAAGTCAAAAGACAAGATTTCAGATTTAGAGTTGACCTGAGATTTTGGCTAATAAGGTGGTTGCGCCTTGTATATGAGTAAGACATAAATTTTAGGAGGCCAAAGTGTGGAATATTAGTGAATTGTGGCCTCCCAAAATCTGTATCGTAAATCCTACCATATCCTTTTGGATGTAATTCTATTTGGGCATAGGGTTTTATTTGTTACATTAATGAGACCATTAGTGTAGAGTGTGTCTTAAGCCAGTTATTTCTGCAATATAGAATACGCATATTAGGAACAGAATCAAGGCATATAGATGGTGGACGATAGATGCTACTTCATGTGAAGACCACCAGAGAACCTTGGAATAGAAGCTGAAAAGAGACTAAGACCTTCCATCAAATAAGATAGAAAGTTAGTCTTTCCTTAAAGTCAATGCCTTGAGTTCAAATTAACTATTAGGACTACACATTATCTTTGAGTCAAAACAGACTTTTAGTTGCTCCATCATATCATTGAGCTTCTGTGGCTGTAAATCTCATGGCAGGAGAGTGCCCTTCTTTCTCCCACAGAGCTGCAGGTAGATTTGAACTCCAGGGAAAGGAGGTCTGTAAGTTATTAGCATAACTCCTTACCAACTGTATCAGCAGAGCTCCTTAAATTCAGTTTTATAGCCTCTTAAATGGTGAGAAAGTTTGTTTGTAAAAGGCTCCTACTTGTGGTATTTCTGTTGTAGGAGCATGAAGAAACTAAGACAAGGCCCATACAATTGTCCACAGGAGAATGGAATCTAGTTCCTAAGAGGAATATGTATTACAGAAGACAAGATCTGGTCATTTAGAAATTATAATCTTTCATTTAGAAATATTTGCTTTTTAGAACCATACTCACCAGTATTTACAATCTTTAAATGTCCTTGGAGAGGGACATCATGCTTGGAAGGATGGAGGGACAGCACACGAGGGGAAGGCCCTCTATGAGGTGGATTGATTCAGTGACTGGGGTAATTGGGATGAGTGTGTTGGAGACGGTGCAATTGGCACAAGACAGAGCAGAGTTTAGGGATGTTGTACACAGGGTCACTATGCAAGCAAGCGACTTGATGGCACATAACAACAACAACAACAACAACTGCATGTGTAAATCCTGAGAAATGGGCGTTTGTGTAAGTTGTTATCATTGTTATGTACAATCAAGTTGGAAATGACCCAAGTTGATCCTCCTGTATGTTTTTAAAAGCAATAAATCCCATGGGAGGAGATTGCTCATCTTTCTCCTGGGAGAGCAGCTGGTGGATTCAAACAACATACCTTTGTGCTGGCAGCACAATTCCTTACTACTAAGCCACCAGAGCTCCCTGTTTGGTTGAGTAGGTAAAATAGTTATCAGAAAGATGTATCTTCTCCTGTGTTTTAATAAATGGAGCCTGGGTGGTTTAGTACATAATAGCTTGGAACCCCAGCTGTGCTGAGGAAGAAAGATGGGCAATCTCCTCCTGTAAGGATTTATGGCCTTGGAAAACTGATGGAGGGTTGCTAGGAATCAGAACTGAGGCAAATGAAGTGTGTTTAAATAGTTTGCTTTTTTAATAAAATGCTATCATCTCTCTTACCACTACTTCTTATTTAAAAAATAATAATTAGTAGGGTTTTAAAGACCTTGAATTGCTGGCAGGTGAATCATTTGACCAGATCAAACAAGACATAATAATGATTGAGGTCCTCATCAATAGTACAACTACCTTACTTAGGGAAATCCTTGCAACACCATTTCTTGAATATTCTGCAACTTTGTCCCCAGCTAAGCACCTTAACAAGTGACTAAACAAGCAAGTCTCTGTACAAGAATTTCTACATTTGTTTGCACACTCACAAATAATGTTGTCAATTATACAGTTGTCTTTTTCATTGCCATTTTGACACATCAGGCCAGTTCGAGCAACACTGTGCAAAATGTACTGAACTCACTGACATTCGGTAAGACAGAGAGTCTCAGGGGTCTTACTCAAGCATTCACTGGGAAACACAGTCCGAGAACCACCTGCATTGTGGGAAAAGATGTTGGAGTATCTGCCCAGAAAGGATGCTCTTTATATTACCTACCCCTGTTGGAGAAAATAATACTTAGCGATGAGTAACGACTGAGAATAGGGTCAGGAATTTGGGTTGTGACAGTTCAGAGAAAGGTCAGAGCTTTGTTTTCTTGGTCTCCAAGTTGATCATGTTTCCTTGAATGTGAGGAATCTGCTTAGCTTCCAGTCCCTGAATATCCTCTGGCTTTACAGGAACATAGTAGTATCCCATGATGGAGAAGATCAGGCAGACCACCAGCAGGAGGCAGGAAAACAAAATAAATTCAGCCCACTGTAGGGAGAAATAAAGAATATGGAGACACCAGGACACCAGAGAGATTGACACAGAACAAGGAACCGGGACTATCTTGACTCAGAATAACTTGTTTATGCAGAAGTTTTCTGGAAAGAAGACTGGTTTCATTGTCTCCTCTTTACATGGATTATGATGACCATCAGTGCCACTAACAAATGTTTATTTTCCTGGAAAATCTGTGTGCATCTAATCCATCTCCTTGCACAACACTTGGACATATATGAGAAAAAGATGGAGGGAGATAAAGGGGGGAAAATTGAGAGGAAAAACCATAGAAAGGCAAGAGGTTCTGCTTTTAGATTCATACCTGTACCAGGCCACTGAACTGTGCCACAATCAGCACGATGATATTCCCAAAAGCAACCGTCAACAGCCAGGCTGCCTGGAGGACAGATTTCATGCTAGAGGGAGCCTAGGGAAGACACAGGTTTGTGAACAAACAAATTGCCTGTAATAGAGGTATTACATGGATCTATCTAGAAAATTTCTCCCAGAAAAGTCTCTGGGACCAGAGAGCATGAGGGTGAGTCAACTAACATGGTCTTATTATGACAATACTGCATAAAACCAACATTGTAAAAATAGAAGGGTATTTAGTAAGATGTGTATAAACATCCAAAAGGTAAAGAGGGAAATAGGAAGGGGACAAGTGGAAATCAACAGGATAGCAGAGTTTGGTAGGCAAACTGGGGAGAGGGGATCAGGTAAAGAAATAAGAAACAGAGACTTGAAGGGACAATATAGTAATAGGCACAGATCTACGGTAGTTATATAAATGAAAATGTATATTAATTATTGTATAAAACGGCAAATAAAAGATTGTATAAAACACCACATATATAGATTAAATACAATGTAAACGAATGATTAAAGGGAGGAAGGGATGGAAAAGGGAGAAGAAGAGATGATCACTGGTTTAGTGGAGGCTGGGGAAGGAGAAGACAGAGTGGAAAACAAGTTTCTATCTGAACTCCCCTCTCCAAGTTTGACTATTAATATGACTCAAGGTGTGATAGTAATGTTAACAGTAATAATAAAATTAAGCTCTTAATTGAATATTTTAATTCATAGACATCAATCTTCAAAAAAACCCTAAGAGGTAAGTTCTATTAATATTCTTAGTTTATAGACAAAGAAAAAATCATTTGGAGACACTTTAACTCATTTGCTTAAGATTACACAGTAGCTTTTACAACCAAAACTTGAGCAGGGCCAGCCTGACCCCACAGCCCTTACTCTTAATAATCTTCTAATATCCTTTTCTATGGTTGACACTACCTAGACTTCTATGCTGGGGGCCATGAACCTAGGCGTCAAGATGACTTTCTGTTTAGATTCATATATAAGGAACTCAAGTCTGAAAGAAATGAAGGTCTTGGCTTGAGTTACCTCCCTAGTTAAGGCAAAAGTCATTTCCCAGCATCTGAGCAATGCTTTCACCTCTCCTTTTGACTTGCAAAAACTTACCTGAGCATAAGAAAACTCAAGTCCTGTGACAGAGAACATGACTTCCCCTGCTGTAACCAGGGCATACTGTGGTAGCTGCCATGCAATGGACATTTTGCTGACTGTCACTTCTTCCATTTTCCAGGCTTTAAAACCCTGCTCAGTGTCCTTAGTGGAGGAAAGAAGAAATGAGTTTGTCAACAGCCTCAGATAAATACTCAATCTGTAAACATTCTATGATGTTAAATTCATCCTGTTTTGAACAGTCTCTGCACAATCTGTTGGTTTTGTTTGTTTAATTCCCTTTGGTAGCACTAGATGGTTGTTGGGTACCATCAAGCTGGAACCAGCTCATAACTAACACTCAGCAGGTTTTCCGAGACAGTCCATCATGCAGGAGAAGACTACTCATCTTTCTCCTTCAGAGCAGCTGGTGAATTTGAGCCACCTGCCTTTGGGTTAATGGCAAAACTCTTTACCACTCTAAGCCACCAGATCTCCCTCAGCTCTCAATGTTAGGAAGAACTGGAGTATCAAGATGAAAAAGTTCTTGATGTCAAAGATCATTAATATCCAAATGCCCTTTATTCCCTAAGTCAAAAGACCACTGGGTTCAAAACAGTTAGTAGTTCTGACTTTGTTTAGTTGATACTGTGAACAATATCTGAATATCATCTAAATTTTGGTTTAAATGTTCAAGGCACTGTTTTCTCTCAGGATGGAAAAATTTACATGATATTCAGATACCCACAGGCAAGGTAAAACCTAAACCAGATAAAGAATAGTAAATGAAGTGAGCTGAATGGGAGTTATGGGGACCATGGAGAAAAGAATGACATAGGCCAGTCAAGAGGTTACAGTCCACATGGAGCCCACCAACTGATTTGGGACTATTTATTACATCTTTTAATTTAATTTTTTTTTACATAATATTCTTTGCCCCAGCCAGACCAGGACCTAGGGGAGTAGCAGCCACAGCAGCCAGAAGTAGAGACCTGATGGGAGACAAAGCTGACCTTGGGACTTCTGTAGAACCAGTGCCTTTTGCCTAAATTTGTTGGAGGATTAGGATGAGGGGTGAGAGAGCCAATGGGCAAGACTAAGAGCTTCTAAAGCTTCAAGGCTGAAGCCAAGGTCCCTGTAAGCACATTTTGGAAGCTGTCCTTACTGATTATTTTCTGCATACTTTGGACATGTTGCAAGGAGGGACCGATCCTTGGAGGGGGACATCATGCTTGGGAGGTTGGAGGGACAGCGCAGGAGAGGAAGGCCCTCTATGAGGTGGATTGATTCAGTGGTTGGGGTAATCAGGATGGGAGTGTCAGAGACAGCGTGGTTGGCACAGGACAGAGCAGACCTTAGGGCTGTTGTACATAGGGTCGCTGTGAGTCGCAAGCGACACAATGACACATAACAACAACAACAAACAACCTGAATTAGAACCTTTTGACTTCCCTAAAAGTATAAAAATAGGGATCTAATCTCTTTTTAAGACAATTGTTGTTATGTGTCATTGAGTCGCTGGTGACTCATAGTGACCCTATGTACAACAACCCTACACCCTGCTCTATCCTGGACCTAGCTTATTGTCTCTGATACCCCTAACCGTCATTACCCTAGTCACTGAATCATCCATCTCACCAAGGGTCTCCCTCTCCTGTGCTATCCCTCCACCCTCCCAAGCATGGTGTCCCTCTCCAACGACTGGTTCCTCCTTGCAACAAGTTCAAAGTATGTCAGATGAAGCTTTAGAATCCTTGCCTCTAAGGAGTAGCCTACTCCAGGCTGAACCTGTTTGTTCTCCTGCAGTGCAGGGTATATTCAATACTCTTCTCCAGCACTACAGCTCAGAGGCATCAATTATCTTTCTATCATCCTTAGTCATTGTCCAGCTCTCTGATGCATAGCAAGCAATTCCGAAACCCATACTTGGACCAGGAGGCACAGAGCAAGAAGACACTGCATGGTTCAAAATTGGCAAGGGTGAATGCCAGGATGGTATTCTGTCTCCACACTTTTTCAATCTATATGCAGAACAGGTCTTCCGGGAAGCTGGAAAGTATGAGGAGGAATGTGGCATCAAGATTGGAGGAAGACTCATTAACAATCTGCGTTATGCAGATGTCACAACCCTGCTTACTGAAACTGAGGAGGACCTGAAGCACTTGCTGTAGAAGGTCAAGGATTGAAGTTCAATAATAAGAAAACAAAGATTCTCACCACTGGGCTGATTGGCAGGATCATGATAGATAGTGAAGAGATTGAGATTGTTAACAGCTTTAGTTTGCTTAGCTCTACAATCAACACTCTTGGCACCAGTAGTCAGGAAATTAAAAGACTCGAAGGTTATTATTTAAAAAAATGTCAAAATGGCAGAAGATACTTGCAAATTATTGTGATTTACATCTATAATATGTAAAGAGTGCTTGAAACTCAATAATAAAATTAATAACCCAACTAAAAGGTCAAAAGATCTAAGTAGCATTTCTTCAAAGAAAATATACAAACTGCCAATTAGTACATGAAAATATGTTTATCATGAATTCTTGTCTCAAAACCACAGTGAAATACCACTTCACTACACTACATTTATAACAATTACAGTTGTTGTTTGTTGTTGTTGTGGTTATGTGCCATTGAGTCGCTTGCTACTCATAGCGACCCTATGTACAACATCCCTAAACTCTGCTCTGTCCTGTGCCAATCGCACCGTCCCCAACACACCCATCCCGATTAACCCAGTCACTGACTCAATCCACCTCATAGGGGGCCTTCACCTTCTGTGCTGTCCCTCCACCCTCCCAAGCATAATGTCCCTCTCCAAGGACCTGTCCCTCCTTGCAACATGTCCAAAGTATGTTAGACGGAGCCTTAAGTACTAGCAAGATGCAAAAGAATTGGAAAACTCATACACCAGTGATAAGAAGGCAGAATCATAAAACTTTACAGTTGACAGTTCTTGAAAAAGCTAAGCCTAGAGTTGTCACAGGGATCACCGGTGGCTTAGTGGCAAAAAGCTACACTGCAATCCTTAAGGCATGTGTCTCATATCCACCAGTTGCACCACATGATGAGCAATCTCTTCCCGTGTGATTAACTGCCTCTGAAAATCTACCAGAGGGTTAGCTATGGGTTGTTGCCCACTCAGTGGTAAACAACAAAAACAGAATTATCATATGCTATAAAACTTAACTTTTAAGTATGTTGTTGTTGTTGTCATGTGCCGTCGAGTCGTTTCCGACTCATAGC